TGCTTCAGGTAGAAGGGACTAACTTCTCCAGTTTGGCACCTCAATTCTGCATATTTGTAACATTTGAAGAAGGTAACAACTCTTGTTCGCGAAAATTACGAATGGATTGCACTGCAGTAGCAGCGATATCGCTACACCGCGCAGAGACGCTTCCTGTTCTCCTTCCATAAATATCAATCGATTCGTTTTATCAGGCATATCCCGGGGGCAATTGCTAAGAGCGGCACAACCGCAGGCCTTCATCTTTCCGACCTCCCGTCAACACGGCCCTACACACATACTGACTCTCTTGGCCCCCGGCCCGGTTTGTGGGAAGTTGACGTCGAATTAGATGCTTGGTATCTAGAATTCAATGTCTGTGGCTTCTGACGTGCTTGACCAGCGCACAAAGCAATTTTGCTCCGTCTCAAGGCAGTTTGAATAAAATATCGTTGCTTTAGACCAGTTGTTTGCTTCTTCACACGTTGAGTTTCAGCTCAACTTCAGTGGTTACCGATATGCTGTGAAGACCCGGAGCGCACGACGATGCCACCCACGTCCCTCGTGAGGGACGTCCGGTTCGTTCGGCAGAGTACACGCATTCGTCATTCCGACATGATTCTGGAATAGGGAAGAAGGTGTAATTGCCTGATTTTTAGATTCAAAATAATGGTTTCAAGGTCACGGTCACGGCTCTCCACGAAGTAATCCGATCAAGCCCGCCTCACAGTCACGGCTCTCGACGAAGTGAGCCGATCGAGCCCGCCTCACGGTCACGGCTCTCGACGAAGTGAGCCGATCGAGCCCGCCTCACGATCACGGCTCTCGACGGAGTGAGCCGATCGAGCCCACCCATCCGACGCAGGCTGGGCAGCTCGTGATGTGCTGACAAGCGTTACATCAATCATACAAGATACGATCATACAAGACTGTTCTGAGTTTTACATTTGAATAAGCGGCAAAGATTACGCGAGGCAATATGTTTCTGAAAACAAGAATGTTGACCGGAGTCATTTCAGGTCAGTGACCTTTTCTGACCTTTGAGAAGTGCATGGAAGACTATAGCGCAGTTCCTGTTATCAATAAATTGAAAATGAACACCAGAAACTGCCCCCTACAGCAAGGCCTAGAGCAATAAAACAGATTGGCTTCGACCTTGGCCTGACTTTCAAAACTGACCTTTGGTCAGCAGACTTTGTTCAGTCAATTGTTGCGTTGCCTAAGAAAGTATTTCAGAGATGTATGGGCTCGTCTAACACTCTGTTGTTGCATCAGATTGAACGAGTCCCTAGAAATTGGTTTCGCAGAATCCATGGCCTGACTTTGACCTGCCGTAGATCAGCGACCTTACAAGGTACATCTAAATTTTTAATACCAAACAATCCGCGACTCAATTTTATATAGCTGTGCAAGATTTGGCGCGGCTGCGTTGCGCCTTTCGAAACCATTCTGGAAAAACCGTTGGAGCGCCAATGTGACACCTACCCAAGCGCGTGTTAAGTTATGGTCCCTTTTGTGTTTTCTGTCTTTATCCCGAATAGCGCAAATGGCCGAAGTTCAATTCACTGCCCTTGTCAGCCAAGTCCCTCTACTCAAAATTGAAGATCACCCGTGATGCATGGCTTCCATGGTCCATGAGGTAACTACAATGGAAACAAAACTAGAAGCAAAACCATAAAACAACAAAGATAGAAGCATACCATTTCAGTCAATTGGTTCCAAAAGAAGCTCCGCTGGTTTTGAAATTTGATATCCTGCTAAATTTTTGCACAAATAATATCTTAATTCCTATACATGTGTGTGTATCTGAGTTACGCGCATAATTTTGTAGAATTAATCCTATTTGCAGTATTCTAATATTCCTGATGATTTAATGTTGCAATGACTCAGTTGGGTAGAGCACCTGCCTTCCGATCCATCCACACATGGCCACACGTGGGGTGGATTCGAGTTGCTTTAGGCGCTCGCTATTCGCCGTTGACAGGTATTGCCTGCGGCCGGTGTCAGCGGCCGTGGCTAAGGACAGTAGATGTCAGAGGGTAGGAGCAAGCGAGCCTTGCCGAGCGCTGTGGCACGTTTGAGCTCAGCCAACAAATTCTGCCATTGACCTGGAATTGCGTGATGGGATTGTGGGGGTCAGGGCTCTCACAACAAGCACTGCTAAGCATGAGCTTTGATCCCAGAAATCCTCCATTCAAAACGTTCGGATAAAATCTTTAAAAGTGTAGCCCCACGAAAACTATTTGGTCTCCGGTGAAAAGGAAACTGTGCGCTGTATGCATGACATCCTGAATGGCCTGCACTTTTGGAAAACAGCAGAGTGCAAGAAAGAACTTAATCTTCATCGAATCTATAAGCAAAGAATGTGAGCGAATAGTAACCTAAAAATGTAACCATGCGTGTTTTTTCTACATAATTCGTGTCGTTGCAATGCTGTGACATTTTCCGTCACACTCGTTCTTAACCCACTGCATTAACTCATGGAACACTACTGAATGACATCAAACCGAGTTTTCGTAACCCGTGTTGTTAAGTTCACTGGAGGTTTGAGCAAAATTGACTGTCCATCACAATATAAATATTTCTCATCACACTTCTCAGTAAGCTTTCATGGAACGTAGACAAAACAGTGTGGCAGAAGACGGATCGTGGATCTCCCGTGGGGACCGTTATCGCATCCGTACCCAGCTCGGAGCAGATGGCGACACACACCTCACGGGTGATCTTCCAAGTGGTGGCGTATCCGATGCGGTAAGATTCCACTACCGCCGTAGCGTGGCAGCAAGACGCTCTCCTGGCGAGATGGGATCTCACGCGTTCGTGCCCTGCTTCCGGATCTCGTCAACTGCCAGAAGTTCGTCAAATTCGTCGACGCACATCCGGAAGTGGTTTTGTGGCGCGGCCGGGTCGGACTCCCACGTCCCGTTCGCGAGTATGGGGTTTACGCCACTCTGGTCCCGACAGAACAGTATGTACGGACCCAGAAGGCTCGCTGGCGGCGCCACCGAAGCCGCGAGAAGCGGTGACGATTTGTATCCATGACAGGGAATTAGACTTGAATTGCTGATGACTGGACGTCACGGTTAACGCTGCTTTCGGGTTGCTCTGCATGCAAAAACTGACAAACAACATTTTAAAAGCACGAAAAGACGTGCTGAAAAAGAAAACCTCAAAAGCACAATATTGAAAACAAAAGAATCCTAAAAAGCGCACTCATAGAAAACGAAATCATTAAAAACACGGGCCGTACTGCCACACCTTGATGATCGCTGCGCTTTTAAACGACGTACGGGGTTAATCCGTGCATCTGGTATATATTCCACATATTTGACGCCACAATTATTGATTTAGCATGCGTCTTGATCTAGGTAAAGCCCCTGTCGGCGACAGTATGGGTGCACCATATAGCTGTATGGCTGGGAACGAACTTTCGGAAAAAGTGACTGCACGTTGCCTGTTACATCTTTATGATTTGACGTATCTTTTCCTCAAGGAATGCGCTGAAGTACTTAGTGACAAGGACACGGATTCCCCAAAGGGGAATTATGGTTATCTCTTAGGTGGGGATACCCTATTTGTATTTCACTTTTTCAACGCTCTTAGTTGTAGATTGTCCAAGGTTTACTGGCATCAGTAACAGATCACCAACAAAAAACAAAAAACAAAAACGAAATGCCCGCAGACATCTAATACGTTTTTGCATCACTTCGTGAATGTCTGTCAAAAATGTATATCACACACTGTATCGTGATGTTACTGGCGTGCGCCTGAGGCTGCCCCTGCTCGCGCCGCCAGTGCTGCTGCACCTTGGTACGCCGCTCCCCGACCGGCGGTGTACTGCCTGGCGCGCCGCCCGCCGGGGTCGGCGCCGCCCGCTCGCCTCGCGGGTTAATACAGTTGCCGTCTCGCAGCGCTCGTGTCTGGTCTGGGCAGATAGAACACGTAAGACTTGAAGATACACTGCTACCTAAGTAATTATTATTGCTCAATTTATCATTAATAAAATCAAATTATTAATAATATGCTAGCAGTCAACTTTTTGCAGAGTGATTTACACAGTGACATGTTCACTCCAACAGCCTAGGATAACTTTCCATTACCATTGGTTGTTAGGGAAAGTCAGTTAACAAGTAAATCAACGTCGCTCTTGGATTACAGCTCCTTTTGCAAAAGTCCAGTCCAGTCCAGTCCAGTTGCAGTCCAGCACTGAAGAGTGATGACGAATCCGTACTAAACGAGGGTGCCTAAGAATAATTGTGCCGTTTTCTCTGAGGTGTTCGCCTTTTCATGCGGCAAATGCATCATTCCCTGCTCCCAAAAGAGACGCACGAGACTGGCCAAACACCCGGACAACCACACGGGTGAGGGCATGGATCGATGCGTGTGTGCTCATGGCCGCTCAAGCATAAACCATTGACCCGCACTGACCCGCCCGTTCCATGCCGCACAAGGTGTCATGCCCAGCACTGAAGATGAGATTCGTTTTGATTTTGATGCAACAGTCAGCTGAAGTTTACTACTGCAGATTTATCATGGTTGTGCGCCCGTAATACCTGAGAGTGCAATGCTTTATGATATGTGACGAACGCTGGCCTGAGAGTCACCGAACATGTATAGAAGCGTTAAAAACAAATGACAGTCTAATAGTAGTTCAACTTTTCACAAAAGGGACAACACATTTGGCCTCCAAGCGTCTAAGCCTGAGGATTCATGTTAGGATACAAAAATGGGTGGTGGGAAACTGGGGTTTTTAATAACTTTGCCGTGCGATTTATGCTATAGAGCCTTCCACATCTAAAGAGAAGAACTTGGCTTTGCTGAAAGACAGTTCACTATTTGGGTACTAGCCTCTGTCAACAAGATTCAGCTTGTACGCAACGATCAGAGCAGCAACACATAATCATAATTCACTGCTGCGTTGCCTAAATCAAACCACGTGCATAGATGAGGAAAATAGATAAGGAAAATCGGTCGGCACTGATTAATTTCAGTTGCTTACAACACTTTACATGAATCAGGGTTTTATTGACATACTACATAACACATGCGGGTAATCGAGTTTATCTCTCGTTTAATGTGACAAAAATCAGCACGCAAAGCAACACACCGTCAGCGGCTGCGGCCAAACCTTCAATGTCAGTTGCATTTCACAACATACCAAACTCCACATACATGGCCGAATATAATCATTGAGAGTGCATTGATATACGATGATGCATAATACATTGGATGCGGTGAGCAAAATAGTGAAAGTTGAAGATCAAAAGCCAGACAATAACGCAAATCCTTTATTTTTTCTACAAGACTATCATTTTCTCCTGTCACTCACCTAAACTGTTGAAGATCAAGCAGCCCTTACATCTAGAACATATACATATCCACGGACATTCGGAGGAGGCTACAAAAATGCGGGATTCGCACATCGCCGAGCAGCTACGGGCAACACACATTACATGGGCGCGGCGTATTGTCCTCACCAGGACAGCGGCGCGCCGCCTACATCGCACACGCTGAGAACGGCGCTGGTGACGTGCGCGCATCTGCAGGCGGCACCGGCCAGCACCCGCGGTTGTCCCGCGCTTCGCCGGGCGCCCGCGGAACCGACGGCCCAGCGTAGTCGCAGTCCGCTCGGCGACCCCGCGCCCGCCGGCTGCAGCCAGCGGGCTCTACTGCGAGGGGCGGCTCCAGAGAGGGCGGCTCGACAGGCGCAGGAAGGGTCGCCTCTCGCGAGACCGCATCCGGTTCATCTGCGGAGCAGGGACGGCGGAGGGGTGTGGAAGCTGCCCACAAGCTGTGCAGATGCACGATGACTCGCACAGCAAACGCGGCAATGCTAGATGAGGCAATGAAAGGGGCGAGGAGCTGACGTGCTGTACTGTGCTGTACAGTATTTCGCGTAAGCGCCTCCCTCTGTCCTGCCGGCTCTGGTACTGAAGCTGCGTTCATCAGACTCCACGGATGCCGCAATAGGTATTTCATGGCACCGACAAAGGTGGCCAACAGAACAACGCCAAACCGTGTCGATAACGCTGTAAATTTACATCGACCCTAGGAATGCCCTGAAGGTGAATAGGGCGACGAAAATGCCTTCAAAGCAGCTCTGCGCTGTGAGATTGAGCTTAAAGTTTAACAACGCCTGTATGCCAGTTTATTATGACCTTACAGTCCCGATGGGAACCTTGTAGCAGCAAATGCTTGGCGGCATAACAGCTTAACAAGGTTTAGGGAAGGTCGTAATCTTTGCGCTTTTCCTACCTCATGCGTCCATCTAACTGAAGCGAAAGCTTTACCCCAATGCGGCTACATTCCGGGGGAAAGCAAAGCTGAAAACGACAGACCGGCAAGTGTCGCAACTGTGCGCAGCACTTGGTGCCGCGCGGGCACCAGTGTTTATTGGAGCTTCGTTGTGAGGGGACAGTAATAGGCATTCCTCGTCATTTACCCCGCATTAAGCTAGGGCTGCACAACAGAGCCATTGGGCAGTCCCCGGGGACGCACAGTGGTTTTCCTGCGCGTCTGGGAGGCCTGGGCTAAATGGCTTCATTGCCCGCGATGCCCGCCCTGCCTGCCTTATTGCTTGGTAACAGAGTAAAAAATTGCAATATCTCGTGGAGCATAGAATGACACGTTAATAACACGACAAACCCGTATATAAAATGGACACAAAACAGCCTAGTCCGATTCGGATTACGTGCAAAAACCATGCATCCACTTGGACCCAACCTTAAGTCAAACAAGGTCTTCATGAATAATCGACTTTTTGAAGCCGAATCATGAACAGCAGAAAATATCCGTTCGTCCAGAAATAGCCCTGTTCGTAATCCTTAACTGGTTAAGTCAAAACTCGTGAACCTAGCTGTATATATATATATATATATATATATATATATATATATATATGTATATGTAAATATGTATATGTAAATATGTATATGTATGCAACATATATATGTAAATATGTATATGTATGCAACATATATATGTAAATATATATGTATATATATATATATATATATATATATATATATATATGTCGCTATTACATGGTTTCATGGTTTTCCTTTAGCGTTTAGCCTTCGTTTCGTTTCGAAAGCGCCATTTCTTCCTTATTAGATAAGCTGTTCACTGCATTCGCAAGAAACATTATGCATGTAGATAAGACAGTAGTAATAGTTTCAATCATCGGAAAGAAAAATAGCAGAAGAGTGGAGATATAGTTAAGTCATACCTCCAGAGTGAAGATGTAGTCTATGTCTCCAGTCAGCTGGTTTTTATTTTCTCCGAGGAATAGGGCCATAAATACTGTCATATCCTCCTTCTTATCAAGTTTCAAGTTTTTTGGTTTCTCTTACTCTGCTTGTTTATTTACTACGTAACACATTTCTACCTTTTTAAACTACTGCCAATGTAACACGCTGCGCTATTTGGTCTGCACCAGTACGTCAATAATGCGTAAGATTTGCCTGGACACCTCCTAGCTGTTCTATGACCCATCGCACATTAACATACATACATCTGCATAGTCTGTAGCCATGGAGCAGTAATACAAATGTAAGCATTCATGTGCATGCATGCAACCTTCAGAAGATTGTGCGAGATGATTTCTGAGCGCTGCCATCGAGACGCAGGCACGCAGATCAACCATTTATTCAGCAGAATCAGTCACTTCCCCAGCCTTTACAAAGCGACTTGCTGCAAACTTAGTGCTGTTCATGCAACAGTCTGAGGCACCAACTGACTGAGGCACCAAAACGCTTACTACGCCGTCTTCTAAAATCAGGTTAAGTTTATTAAATATCGTCCGGCAGCGTCCATTGCCGCTGGCTCCAGGCAAACGGCCGTTGAACTCCATTCCCACGACAAAACGTTCCGCTTAAAGATAAATCATACTAGCTGCATGATTTATGATCGGGGCGGCCTTCATGGGAAGAGTGTCATGGCTCGCACTGCACCGCAGACACAGGGTAAGGCAATACAGGCTCTACAAATGCGACGCGCTTGGATGTGAGCCAAGTTGATCCCACCCTCATTGAGGCATAAAATAGATACACCAACTTCGTAGGGCAGGTTGGCTTGCATGTTAACTCAGTTGGTTTTTTAAGCTTCTTTGGTCATGAACTTCGGGTCAAATTAGGTCAGACAAGGTCAACCTGCTGGTTGGTTGGTGTCTGACCAGCAGATAAGTTGTATATTTATCTGTAAAGATACTTTATCCCCATTCTCCTGGTTTTTATCCGAGGAAGGAGGCTAATACTTCCGTCTTATCTGCTGGTTGGTGTTTGATTTGTTGCAATGTTGGTGTCCTGTAAAAACTGTGGCTTGCTTTTTCAAAAACAAGACCTGAAAAATCGAGTAGGATCATCGGCAGGCAATTTTGAATTCACTTCTGCTATTGTTTTGATAAAGGCATGTTGCCGAAACATCAACCCAACTATATCTCCATTCTCATGGTTTTTATCCGAGGATTAAGGCTAATACTGTTGTCTTATCTGTTGGTTGGCATTTAAAGTGCCTTCAAACCTCCTAATGCAGCCTCCTTTAACCTAAACACCGAATGTAAAGCAAAAGGCCACTGATGTTTCTTTTAGGTCAGTGATATTGTTTTATGTTCAGGACGTCAAGGTTAGCGAAAATATGTTGAATTGTTTTCATATTTGGATTTAATTAAGCGTCAGTGATGAGAATCACGGGTATGATCGTAAAAACAACGGGTGCATAGGGGTTATTTAAGGTCAGTGATCTACTCTGACGTTCATGAACTCCAAACGGGATGGCAGTTGACATCCCTGTGATCAAGAAATTCAGGAGAAATGAGAATCAAAATCTACCTCATGAAACAAGTTATTTAGTAAAGAGTGAATGATTTTGGTCTCGGCTTGAACTTCATACCTGATCCAAGGTCAGCGGAATTACTCGAAACACTAAATTCACTTGCCTTATTGTCTAAGAAGCTCTATCAAAGATGTGTGAGTTCGTCCAATATCCACTGCCTGATCAGATTAAACGATTCCCTAAAAATTGAATGCGTGACCTGGCTTTGACTTTTCATCGGTCAGTGACCTCACCAACGAAATGTTATTTTAATTACCAAAAGAGTTGACTGTTCAATGTTCTAGACTTGATGTGCTTGGCGCGGTGACGCCGCGCCGTTGGAAAGTTATGCTAGAAAAACCTTTCCGTGGGGCAAAACGCTATATCTCGGTGCCTATCTGTAAAATGGAACAATTTGAGGATTGTATCACTGCAAGGATTGCGAACAAGTTTGACGAGCTTCATGCTCACATGTTGGAATAGAATCTAGACCTACTAGATATCACTGAATCTTCGATCAGTGGACATTTTTTAGGAACAGCTCGCAAGAATTTAGAGTACCTGGTAACAACATGTTAGCTTTTCATAGAAATGCGAAAAAAGGACGTGGAGTACTAGGCTGTGTAAGACAGAACATAACACATGACTTTGTAGAGAGTATGAAGAAAAATGATAGTGTAGAATCCCTTGAGATCGATTTGATTATGCCAAAGGGCAACACGTTACGTGTTGAACTTTCTACAGGCCTACAAATAGCTGTCAGGATGTGGAAACAAATATGTGTGAAGAAATCGGTCGAGGTGAGAGTGGAAAATGTGTGGCGCCGCGAGATTTCAACATCCATCAGTGTGACAGTGTGCCATCAGTGTGACAAAACGGCATTTGACCGACACCTGCTCTCATGATCGTAATTGTTGTATTTTGTAGACAAGATTATAAAATGTCTGATAAATAAACCCGTTTCGTAGTCATTTATGGTCTATGATGTCTTAAAAACATAAGTTCGTAAACAATTTAGCATTGCAGTGTAAGGTACCAATGTGAACAATGACTGAAATCCGCGGAAACGAACTGAGCCTGGGCCAGAACGGACCGCTTTCGTCAGTCTCCTTCTGTGAAAGATCAATGACCTCAGAATCCTTCTTGGGGACATGCTTTCTGCACAGTGTATATAGCTTGTTATGGAGGTACAAGTACCAGAAGCAAACAGGGGCAAAACGGACGGAAAAGACGTCGCTGCGTCGGCCAACAAGAAATTTGAGCTTAACCATGCGTGTTGTGCTTCGCCGTGTCAGCGCTTGATTCGACGATTACGGCTGTCCCAGATGTGTCGAATTGAATAGCTCTTTTACAGTGTACTTTGCATGTCTTTACTCACCAAAAAAGAGGACGACGCCCCAACATTTGCGCTCAAAATATGCACAAATGCTATTGCTGTAATGCGCACAACCGCGAAAAAACTGTTCGCGCGCTTTGGCACAGCAACACAACAATACCGTTTGGCTCCATAGCATACATTGCAGCTGCTAGATATGTGCCATCGAGTGCTGAAGGTGCGGAGATGATCGGGGCAATAGCCTCTGAGTGAGTTGTCTACAGGTAAGAATTTGGGAATTTGTAAACATAGATGACTTTTGACCTGACCTACGGTCACCAATTTTTCAAATGCGGGAAGGAATCAGGTATGGCGTATCCAATAGTGAAGTTTTGGCAGCGATCGTTTCGGTGGGTTCTGAGCTATGAGATGTCTGCGAGCAAGAATTTTGGAATTTGTGAAATTTGATGACTTGATTGGACCCACGGTCACCAAATTTTCAACTGCAAGTGGGAATCAGGTATGGGGCATCCAGTGGTGTAGGTTTGGCAGGGATCGGTGTAGTAGGCTCTGGGATCTGAGTTGTCTGCATTTGCATGTCAAATTTTCCCTTCTCGTTTTTCAGGTATTTGACCTCAGCTCAGCTCTTGATATTGCCTCCCCATGATTCAACTCCATGCAAGGAATCGATTGGGGAAGGTTTCAAGGAGATTAGACAATCAGTTTCGGAGAACGTGTGTGCCTGCTTTGTATGCCGATTTTAGACCCTGCCTTGTAAGCTTATCGTTGCGATGATAATGATATTGCCACACGGCGATGTGTATACAAATGTTCACGCAGAGGTTTGCGTCATGACTGTGTCATGTGTTCCTCTAATAAAACTGGGCCGCATAGCTCTCTTCGCTGCAATTCTAGTGGCAATTTTCCTCGCGGCTGTAATGTTTGAGCTCATTTCTCACGGCTTACGTCTTCCGAATGTCTGATAACTCGACTGTAATAATTCGCTTGGCTCTTAACATGTTATCTTTACACCAAGTGTAGGCACATCAATTATTGATCACAATATGTGACCCGCCCTTATGTTGGATAGAAATGGAGCAACAGTCTGCTTTGGGACTCAACCGGCTACACAAAATAGATGTATGCTGGAAGCCCTTCTCGCAGACCAAGCCCGCTGATGGAAAGCAGTGTATTAACTGAAAGGTGGAGCATATCTTGCCGTCTAATGGTCTGCTCGCACGAGAGTTTTTCTGCGCGTCCGATGGGGGTAAGGAAACGCCTCATTACGAACCATTAACATGTGGCTCGTTAGACGATCAAAATCCTGTAAACAGTGAGGAGGACATCAAGGATGGTGGTAGCATGGATGGTCTCGCCAACCTCAGCGCTTTCATCGCATTCTGCAGCGCGAGTGGAAGCGGGTAGATGTGATTTCTTGGCGATTCTACGAGCGGTGTGCTGGAAGACAAGCGACAGCAAACAGCGTAATTAAAAACTACGGTGCATATTGGGCAGCCTGTTACGCCTTTGCCGAGGTAATTCCAGGGTGCAGTTTACAACTGGCCTATGAGTTTGGATTGAGCGAGAGCAAATTATGTGAAATCACGTTGGTGTGCTATTTTTCATGTGCCCGCCAAATAAAGCTGGCTCAAATAAAAAAAAAACGCCACCGCCTAATCGCGAAGAGCAATCTGAAGTTATCGGAAGTCATTCCATGACCTACCATGATCGTGGCCCTGAATGATCAGCGTACCACTATAATATCGTTGCAAGGCCGACTTGACCTGATCTAACTGTAACCTTGAATGAGGCAGCGTTAACATGCGCACACGCAAATAATTTATCAACTGAAACAAATAAGAGGTACTGCGATGAATCAACGTCGCGGCAGTCCTAATTGTGCCAATAAATGCTACATGTGACATGTAATGTTAAACCAGGTCGAAAGGTGATACGCAATTGATATGGATGGATGGTATGGGTTATGATGATATGGATTATATGGATTTTACGTAGGCACATCTTTGTTGATGGAACGAAGTCGACATGGTTTGAGCCAGCTAACAATATGCTTCAGTGTATGGAACCGATCTGAACTTGCCGGATTTTACTGGTGTGGATTCTAAAAATTCAATTCAAGAACGATGGTGAACATATTCTAGCCGCATTCCCTTGCCATGCTCAGCTCCGCCAACGCAGAACTGGGCGAAGCTAGGGCACATCCCCTGCACTGCTGTGGATTTAATGTTTTACTCTGAAGATCGGGTCTGTGCTGTGCTCCTACAGCAGCCATGCATCACATGTAATAAGTGTAATGGCAGATTAAGCTGAGCTGACAGCTCGGGATACTAAGCTTTTCAAGCAGCTACACGTTAATCAGCATCCTACGGCAGATTTGCCACCGGGCTGACAGTGCGCCTCTGCTGATTCGCACGAGCGTCTCGGCGGACCGTAGACCACTGACCCAGGCGCGGGCGAAACCGGCCGCGTGCGTGCGGACCCGCTTGTCCCGCGGGTACTGCCCGTCCGTGCCCAGGAGCAGGGGAGACGGGGGCTGGGCCCGCAGCACCGTTTCCAGCAGGCGCGTCACATCGTCTGCCGCCAGCTCCTGCGGCGCCGCCGGACACTGCTTCCCCTCACACCTCTGACCTGCGGAAGGTGGTCAGCCGTGACGTTTGAAGTCGTGGAAATAGTCACTGTGGCACTTGGGCGTTCCTGGAACGCGAGAACTTATCGATTAACATTCACGGCCGATTGCCAGTTGACAGCTGTACGGTTGATGGGATGAGCATGAAAGAAAAAACAAAACAGCGGGCAGCCCGGCCAACGATGCAGTTGAAAGTTTTCTCTAACGTGCAAAGGAAAGTTCGATCTCAAGATGAATCATATTTATAAGCAAATCCAAGTATTGCATAACTTTTGCAGGGATATATACATATATAATGCCATCCAATATTGCGCCAACAACATCGTCGGCCTAAGGAGAAGTTTATCACCTTGCTTGTGACAAATGATATTTGCACTGCAAGCCAAGGAAGTAATAGAAAAAGCTAATGGCAACAGTTTGCCATCAAAGAAACATCAATATCCTAGATAATAGTGACCATTAACACAGCCATAGTTTTTAATCACAAGCCACAATCATAGGTACTTATTCAGTTCATTGTGTCACAATATGAAGTGAGTTAAGCTCAGCGCTTCATCAATGACATTCTTAAGCACAGTGTGGCTTTCCGCCGCTGAAGGTTGAAAGGTGGAATATACCACATTTTGTCGCGCATTTGTCACATGTCATGATCATGTTTACAGTTGCTGCAACTCAAAGCTCCCCGTTATTGGCTTCTAGATCACCCCTCTTTCTCAGCTGTCTTCATGCTAGGCGTTGGTGATGCCGGTTGATATCAAGACTCGCCGGGCGAAACGGTTAGATGCCATAGCCAAGCGGCATATCGGTGACAATGGACAGCACATGATGAATGAAAGCGCTGTGAATTTCGCATGTCAATACTGATGCATCACTGATCTATGAAGTCATCTCCGAAGCACTACAAGAACAAGGTATACGACAAATCGTTTGGTTGTATGTCATTGGCAGCATGCTCTGCCTTTCGGCACGACACGAGCAGACAATGGTTATTTACAAGCACGTAAATAATTTTCATATCAGTGACATTTTAACGTTAAATGATATCATCGGCCAAGGGACGCTTGTAGTTGGGACATCCTCGAACCATTTTTTGCTCGGCATCTGTTTTCGAGCGCGATTTTGTTCCCATTTGGTTAAAAACTTTAGGTTAGATTTTTACAAGATTTTTTTGCCATGGGTTCCCAAGCTTCAAGACCCACCTGACCCGAAGTGTCATCAGATAGCGTCGAATTATCAATGCAACTTACCAGGAGCCCCGATGATGCTCTTTCTCGTTGTGGTTGTGTTTTAATTTGGTATCAGATAGCGATGGGGCCTTACCGTCTCTCCCAAAATATCATGAAGGAAGATGCAATTATTTTTGTGCGAGCCCTGCCAGATTTACATTCGTAGATAAATATGTTAACCGTAGGTTTTTACACAAAATAACTTACGAAAAGCATTCCTTGTTATGTAGGCAACGAGCTAAACTGACTGAGAACGATACACGAGGTCTTCAATGCGATGGACTGGACATATTGCTAAGGGCCCTGCTTCAGTGTGCAGCCAAGTCTGCCTGACAACGACAGCGCATACCAACCTGCAGTGAGTGGCGCGCAAAGCACTGCCACCGACAGGCAAAGCAGCAGGCTGCGGAGGTGTCGGCGCGCCATCTTGACCTGACCTGACCTGATCCTGGCGCGGCGGGTGCTCTTGGTTACAGCGGGCGTGAAGCTGCGGCAGCGCCGGCCAGCGCCCGTCTTATGCTGTCGGCCGGAGCGACCGACGATAGGCTCGTGCGCGCGACGGTTCAGGACTGAGGATGCAGCGTCCAGCTTCTGTCTCCCACAGAGGCCCGCTCGTCGAGCGGGGAGTGGGGTCCAACCGACGGGGAGGGGCCAGAGAGTGGGGAGCGTCCAGTTCAAGTACAAGGCATGCATATTAGCCGGTTGTTCCATACCAAGAGTTGTGTCTGTTCATCGTCGTTGTGTTTTAATTGCTTGTCTGTCAATGGGATGTGCAACCAATGCATTTTGTCCAAGTAAACGTCATGTGGTGATCGCTCAGTTCTTGTCTACCGGATCTTCCATAAATACGTTGCCATGCTGCCGGACGGGTGTGTCAAGGCCTCGCATTCCAATGCAGCATATGCGGTTGGCTGCTGCAGGGTGATGACATTCTAAGGGTAGTCATATCGCCATTTACAATCCAATATTTCAACCTGCCGGAGACATGGCAAAATCAAAAAGACATTTCGGCAGAAGCAGCACAGATTTCCAAGAAAAGGAAAGAAGGGGTAGCCGAGCGTGCGACCGCGTGGCGTTTGAGTGTAGTGTTGAGAGTAGTACCGAGTAGCGTTGATACTAACTCTGCGTTTTCCTCCTAAAGTAGTTCAGATTGATCTGGTGGACTGATTGACACATGGGCAGGCCATGATCATACTTGACACTTGATAAATGTTCGGGAAGTCTACCTTGCGGATAGTTCTAGATATGTACCATTTTACTGATATCAAGAGACAATGACCAGCGATTGATGACATTTTTATCACGAAGGCTTATGCATCATTCGTTTTCCGATCACCGCACTATTCGGACTTCCAACATCATTATCAGAAGCGGCGCAATCTTTGGACAAGTCCTATTCAAATTAATGACGCGTGAGGCATATGTTTTAAACAGGAACCGACGAATAAAAGCACGCATGGCATAGATGAGACATGGTCAATGATTCTTTCTTCATATTTGATCTTTCAAATGCAGCTTTGCTGTGCATTTGTTTCCCTTGGCTCGATGCATGCTGTATTGAACAATAGCTCAACGGACAGTGAATTTGGGAAATCAGTGCATTGTCAAGCAGTGAAAATATAAAATAAATCTATAGCAGTGGCATAAACAGTGAAACAGGCTATCTGAGAATGCTGAGAACTGATTCATCCAAACTGACGACATTATGTGACAATGAAAGATAGCCTATCGCCTTTGTGTATATAGCAGCAGCTTCTGTCTCAAACACCGCGGAATCCCGCACCAGATTATCCCTCCTCAGTGACACCTGTGTTCGCTGCATAGATAAGCATCCAGAGGTCTGCCCTGATTGCGTTGCATAACAAATAGTGTCCTACCTCTACTTTCACACGCTGATCAAAAACAAATAAGCGGCGGAGGCAAAGCTATATATTTGAAAAAATAGACCGACATTTACATCATAAACATTACAGTATTTCGCTCCTCGCAATGCCTACAACATTTATAGTTCAAAACAGTTTGCATAATCTCGTTGTCCTAGCCAGTTGATGGGCCTGATACGGGCTGTGCGACACCGGGACCTCGAGACCAGGCAGCATCCACTGTGATACGTCTGCAACCAGAGACAGCATATCCGTCAAGGAATGCACTGATTTCAGTCACATTATCATCGGAATTGCGTGCACACTTCCCACAATATGTACAGGCTGTTACACTCTACCTACTTGTTCAATTTACACGCCGAATATGTGTTTGTCGAACACAGAAGCGCATACAACAACGGTAGGCGGAGGGGGTCGGGAATCACCTTAGAATACAAAAACCTTGAGCCCGAAATGAATTAGGAAACAAACAACTGATGGGGGCTTACACCTGGTGAATTCAGTACCTCCAAGCCTACCAGTGAAACATAAAAGTAAGGTCTCATAAAAATCATGGACAACTAGTGTCCTGGCCATCCGGTCCCATGTGCAGCCTCAAAATATCGCCCTGGAGCTCACAGCAAACATCAGTCAAAAATGATGGAACGCAGCGGCACAGCCGGGTTCCGAAAGGGGGAGGGGTGGAGCTCAGTGAGAACGCCACGTTTTTAGTGAATTGTGTTGCGGTTTACCACTAGATATCTGGTGCGGGGGGGGGGGGGGGAGGAGAAGGGCTACCCTCTTGAATTATACACTGTGGCAATATCCTTAACATTGTCAATAGCAAACTAAGCCATCAACCTAACGATTGGAGGACAGGCACAGCCTTGGCATATTCTTATTGTATTAAGTGTCATTGCATGCATGGAAATTTGACAACAAGGAGGTGGGCATTAACGTAGCTGCTTTGATCTGGGGTAGCCTTTGCCTCCCCTTTCGCTTGGTATGTTGCTATATTATACCATAATGTGAGCAGTACAGTTATACATATTTCGACATGGAACTTCAGCAGATGAGGGCAAATATAAATGAACGCAGCCATCAGTCGCGGTATCGTCACGACTTAGTCAGCACATGGGCAAGAGGGGCTTTCTGGTGCGCCAGTGGGTTGGGGGGGGGGGGGGGATCAACAAGTAACTTTGTCACGGAAAGTACTGGAACTATTGCTGTTGTCAAGGAGTGTAGAGGTGGGTGGGCTGGATGAAGGGGGTCTATCACTAAATAAATCAGTAGCTTCACAGAAAGAGCGCAAGCACACAATGTTTATGAATATCTCATGGCACTCGAAATCATGGATGGAATTAGCAAATACCATTTAGCTGCACATGACTAGAAAACACTTCGTCTAGTCTTAACATATAAAATGAGTAGTTTAAGGGTGGGGGCGCAGCTACGGCCTTGGTACGGGCATAGGGTTGACAAAGGGACTCCTGACAGTAAAAGAACCCCTAAAATCGCTGGATAGGATCCAGTTGTAAATGAGAACATGTTTATGCACACACACATATACATATATATATATATATATATATATATATATATATATATATATATATATATATATATATATATATATATATATATGTCAATATATATGTATAGTTGATAAAAATATGTAATACATGCATGTTTATATGCATATATTCATTTATTTAATACAGCAATGTTTTATATATATATATATATATATATATATATATATATATATATATAAACATACACATTCATACATTTAAATATTCTACACCTTTGCATCTGTTGTAACTGGCATATTGGCCAGACGCTACCACCAAAATCGCGCGTTAAGTGACTGCACGGAATAAATCGCTGGCACCCATCATTTCACAATGATCCAGTGGTCTCATCTACACCGATAGAACTAAGAAACTTTATCCGAATTCTTATCTGCGTGCCACAGAAATAACAAGGATTCCGCGAATGTGGGTTTGAGACCAAAATAGGTCAACAATTTGCATTAACACGGCCAGGCCATGTTGGTCTGAATATCTTCAACAGTCAGTCAGAATTGGTTTGTGGTACAAATCATGTAAGGTAGTTTCAGCATGGGCGCCCGCATATCATAGAAACAAAGAGCTCGACGCCAGGCGTTGAAGTCTCTTTAGGCCGCGCAGCGTCGGCCCCGCGGCTTACACTAGGCCGTGGTTAACAGATGGACAAAAATAGTGACGCGAGGTTCTGATGGAATCTGGTTGTGGAACTGGAAGAGTAAAGGTAAAATTTCTATTTGTCGTGTTTGTGTAAGTGTTAGTTTGTTCAGAGGATATCTTCAAAGTTGTAAAAATATGTTTGCCCGATGGAATCTTTGAACTGTACTAACTAATTTTGAAAGACAATCAGAAACATAATTCTACTATGGCCATTGCTGCGCACTCGGTACCAACTACCTGGCGTTACTTGCAGTGACCAACGCCGTTCGGTTTTACAAAACTGCGGCCCAAGTCATCGCTACCCTTGCTATCCGAGATTACTGCCGTATCGCTGGGGCTTTATAACGCAGTCAGCTGCTGCCACCATATGGCGCCGCCAGCCTCTCACCCTGGCGGGGAGGGTGGACAACGCGGGAAATCGAACTCGGCGCCTGTGCTATCCCAGACGCGTAGCGGTTAACACAGGCTTGTGAACCACTACACTATCGGCCTCCGGCACGCAGTCTCAAATACTTCGATGGTGTTCGTTTGACTAGTCGATTCTGCAAAATAATGAACGTTCTCAGCCCAAAATATGATGGTCTTGTGCGTTTTGAACTCATTTCGGCCCACTCCATTCAGCACTAATGAGACACCTTGTTTCTTGCCGGTAAAAGAGCCTCCTAAATACCCTACGGTGCACATCGTTGCTCCCGGTCAAGAGCTGAGGGACCATTCTGTTCCACCACGACGTGTCTTCCGGCTGGTATTCTGTCGACACGGGGATCCAGTGAGCTGGAATTGCTTTTGAACTAGGGTGGGAGTGAAAAATTACATCGCAAAAAGACCGTCCGGGAGTGAAAAATTCAATTTACAAAAGCCAGAACTTATAAGCAAGTGACTGATGTTTCAGCAAACAAAGACATCTATTCCAGGTTGGCATGGACATAATATCATAAGCCTGACAAAACTATTCTTTAACACCTTAGGCCATTAAAGGGAAACAGAATACATTAAAGGGAATGTTCCACATTTGTATGGCGTTTTGAACTGAAATAGCCACCTTGACGACCTTTTGATGCAGTTCACGGTCATGCCATTTTTAAGACCCAAAACGATTTGGTTCATGAGTTACACGACCCCAAAGTGTCAAAGTCCTTATAGTTGCCCTATTTCAAAATCGCCTTCCGATTAATGGCGCCATAGAAACGTCATTAGATACCCGCGATATGATTGGTTGTTTAAGTTTCGTTTATGATAAAAACCGTATGGCGGCTGATTCATTCGCAAAGGCGATGATGCTGCACATGTGTTACAATACGCGAAAGATGATTGGCTGTTATTGAGATTGCGCTGCTGAATGCGTATCGCGAACATAAACGTGAGCAATTTCGGGTCGCGCGGCATTTGTCGACGGGGCATTTTCCCCCACTCCCAGGCAGTGTCCTATTTGTATCGGTGGGGGTGCGGAACACGGGGTGATGTGTGTGCGATGATCGCAGGACAAAAGAAAATGATTTGACTGTGTTCGCGTAAGTACCTCGCTCCCAATCTGTTAAAACTACTTCATGCCGAATATTTCTGGCGTATCACTGGCATCTCAGCAGTAAGTTCAGGGTATGCACGTCTCAATGTGGCATGCAGCCTCGAGTATGGTGTGCGGTCGCTTTCCATTGTTGTCAGTTTGAGGAATGAGTATGCAATCACGGGCGTGTTCGGCCAGGGGAAAATTATTCAACGAATAATAATCTCTTCGATAATCATCCATGGAGATTTTTCATTTACACTCGACCGGTCCGGAAATTATCCCCCAGATTAGTCTCCCATACGCCATCCACAGCCAACGGTCATAGCTATGCATGGCGAAAACAGATTCTCCGTCTTGACCATGCTCTGAAAATTATCCGGGATTCCTCATCGCTACGGAAAATTATCGGACAATTTTCCGTGACGGGACTGCCGAACGCCATTCCTAATTGTTTTCAATATTCCGGATAATTTTACAAGAGTATCTGCCGGCCGGACGCGCCCCGCAAAAATGGCAAAAATGCCTTCAAACATGCCGGCAAAATGCCTTCAACAAGAAAAGAAAGTCTTTAAATTCAGATGCACGCGACAGCTGAATAGCGGGTGCAAATGCTAGGAGCTGGGCCTACGGTTGTCACCAATTTCAGAAAGTTTTGTTTATGTACTTTATTGCCACGAAAAATATACAAAATATTAATTTGGGGAGTAATTGACTACGACCGAGTCTGGCATGCTGGTAGAGGACGTTGTATGGCACATTGGCAAATAACTTTTTATAACATTTTTGAGTAACTTAAAATAATTTTACTTGTTTCCATCACTAGGTTATGGGCACCACATGATCAATGTAGTTGGCGAGCCCTAATGCCCAAATCATCATCATCGTCATCGTAATTGTTTCCATCTCCTACCTATCTCACTACCGTCATGGGGCTACACCTTGGCTATTTGATGTAACCACTTCATAAACAGATGACTTGCATAAACTTGCATAAACTTGCATGAACAGTGTGAACTTTGTCAGTCAGGCCAGGATCAGGATATCAGTCAAAACTATTCCATTGTTCCAGATTACAGGAAGCGTCAGTGTGCTCAACTTATCACTGAACTCTATGTGCTGTAATCAGATTTGCACTGGGCTGAGCTCTGACCTGTCATATTCCGGCAATGACATTGTTTGGGTATTGCCATGCTGCTGCCACTATTTTAAAACACCAAATTTGCTTACTATGAACTAGATTTGGTGACAGCTATGCACCATGCTCACAGCTTGCAAAGTTCATGGGTGCATGGCCTTAGCTTGTATTAATTATTTTTGGGATGACGAGCATTTCAAAATCTGTCAGACATTTCTGGCAACCCAGATGTACTCCTGATGAATTACCACTTAGCACAATGATTAACGCACACCCTATGGATAGACATTTTCAATTTGCATTACTCATTTAAAGTAAATGTCCATTGCATTGTATAGTAATCCAATTTCCCAATTATTGTGATCCTTTCAGATTCCCAGC